GCGCTTCGTACACACGGAAGGATAAAATTCGTGAAACGTGTCCCCGTTTCGATGCGCAAAAGCGAGGCAGCTGCGCGTGCCAATTGCGTCACGCAATTAACAATAAATTAAACGTTCCATAGGCGGCGGGCTGCGTCACGTGCGCACCTGCCACGCATTAGAGGGGTGCATGTCCTTTGGCGAAGCGTGTCTAAAATGGCGGCACGGGGGAGGGGAGGGGGAGGGGGGAGGCGGCCTCGAGTCGACGTCACGTGTCGCGGACAGATAGAGGATACGCGACAGAGCGTTAAGAAGTTCAAACCGCGTAAGTTCAACCCTCATCCGTTGACTGTGCCACAACCCCATTTCCTCCTCCCCTCCTCTCCGCACACCCCTTTTTTCGAATTACAAGAGGAGGAAGCTATATAGTCGGTTTAGATAGGGGATGGTTAACGACCGCGCGGATATAAATCATGCGCGCGTTTCCTCGACGATGGCACGTGCACAGCTCGAAAACGACGCAGACACAGAGAGGGGGGATGGTTAATTGGACGCGAAAAATAAATAATCGATCGACGTCGCGAGAGAGAGAGAAACAGGAGAAGAGGAGCTGTTTTTAATGGAATGTCCTGTCCATCGTTCCGGGGAAACCTGTTATATATATTCTCGTTTGCATTATCCATTATGGATATTCGTGTACGTATATGTATATATGTATGTAGGTATTATACGCAGAAGTCACACGCAACACGCGATCGCGTATTGTGTAACAGAAATTACGCTTGTCTCTGGCGACACGTAACCGGCGATCTATTAATTCCTGCGCACCACGAATTCGTTAATTCGAATTAACGGGAAGGATACTTGTAATTGATCGACAGGAGTTCGATAGGAACAAGTGGAAATTTTCTGGCTAATTTTCTTACGTGATCTTTTATTATTATTGCGCAATCGAGAGAGAAAGTGTGTTTCGAAAAGATAGGAAAAGAATTAATTAATCGATCATATATCAAAATTATTGATATATAATTTTAGCGCGAATAATCATTTCGAATTCGATCAATTTCGAACGATAATTATTCCTCCTCCTACGTATGTATGTAAACGAGAAGGAACGAAACAAAGTCAGCTCGGATGAAAACGATTTCACACGTCTAAGATGGAAATCCAGGCGCGAAAGGCAGGGACGTGGGCGTCGAATCGCTCGCACGACCATAAATCCAGCAACGATACCCTCTCTCCCACCTATGGACGAGCGCGCGCGGCCCACGCCGCCGCGACACACGCATCGTAGACGACGAGCGGCGGCATATTATTGTGTAATAAGTACGTGCCGTACACGCGGTGCCCGCTACGTGTGCACGCGGTGATAATGCGACGTTTAATTATTAACGTCACACGCATGCGCACACATTCACACGCGCTCCGTATCGCGCACCGCGTGTGTACCTGACACGGTGTAGAGACAGGCCAAGAGACGGAGAAAGATACGGTGGGAGAGATGGGAGAGAAAGAGAGACGGCCGAGAGAGGCGGCTGGTATTACACACGACCTCGTTAGTCGTTGCCGCATCGTGAATAATAAATGTTTATATCCGGCCTCTCTGTCATCATCGTTCCTGTTCGCGTAAACGAGCCGACAACGCGGACGTGCCGCGAAAACACTGGGAACAATTTCATTATTCGGAGATACGCGATGACCTGCCGCGTAGCACGCTATTCACGTGATAGATCCCGTTTTCGCGTGTGTCTCCCTCTCTTTTTCACCCTAGGGTTAAACCTAGGGACCGATTTAATCTGGTTATTTATCTCGATTCCCGATAACCACCTGACGAATGGGCGACTCGTGCGCATGCCTGTTGATCGAGATATTCCCCTCGTGTGGAATCGGTGACACGGTGACGCGATAGATGGAAATTGGATAATTAAATACGAGATTGGCATGATTGAGGTGTACCGAGGGGGTTGTTTTGATTTCGATATAAATGTTTGATGAATCGGAAAGTGGAATACGGACGTTGAAATATAGATGTCCAATCCATTGATAATACGATCACAATGTACATACATTATAAACTAGTAGGTCAACGGTTCCATTGTGGAATTCTTTCGAACATTGAAATTTAAACTTTCGTTGTTATTCTGTTTACCGAAAAGGATCGTAGACAAAGTTTTTCGAATTACGAAGAGAGAGAGAGAGATATACGAAAAAAGATCGCGGCGATTTCTTTGCTCGATATATATTCCTTGGAATCACGGGGCAATTTGTCACCAGGAAAAGAACGAAAAGGTAGAAAGAGGGTCGCAGGTATGTCACATGCGTGTACACGTTAGAAAGTTCCAGCGTGAATTCCGCGGTATACCTTGGTCCTCTGTTGAACCTTCTAAAGGGAACCTTCATTCGTTCACGATGAAACGGAGATAGAACGATAATAAGAAAGAAAAAAAAAAAAAAGGAAAAGAAACGACGTGGATAAAACAAGA